TGGTGTATGAAACTGTTTTGGTCACTCGGAACCATGAATACGCTGCTCCACTGCCTTGTGAACCAAACATCAAGTCAAAGACTCGGGGATGGCTCTTTAAGATAACCTTCTGCTTCAATTTAGGCGTCCGAGCAGTATCTTAACCCTCACATATACTGTGAGATTTTGTGTAGCGCATGCCTTTGTGCCCATAATGTACTAAGTTTGTTTTAATAATAACAATAGAAAGAAGTTGAATATGAAACAATAGGAATGACCGTTATAATTATTCAAAAGTTGTTGGTTTCCATTAAATAAAATAGTAAGCTACAAAAGAGTGAAGAAATAACGTTGTGCAGTGAAGACTCAGATGATACTTGAATCTGCCTACACCAATTTGACTGATTGTGAGCTATATAACCATAAGTCTATAACATAAGGTGTCTGTGGTCACGTGGATTACAGCCAAGTAGTTTACCTGAGTAAGTCAATCAGTGAGTCAGTCAATCTTCGCTTCTTTCTCTCCCAATCCTATTTTATCGATAAAGCTTGTTGAGGTAAGTGAGGATCATGCATGTACTATTTTGTTATACAGTAGTACAGTCTAGAGCAATGGAAAAGCTAGAAACCACCCTGAAACGCCACCGTTTGAAGATTCAAGGATGACACTGGGATTACACATGCATGTATTAAGCTGACCTGAAAGAAAGAATCAACATATTATCTTCTAGATTAGCCTGAAAATATTCAAAACAGTTGATGTTGTAACAAAACTATTTTTGTACCTGCTTCGGTCTGGGCGCCCGGGCAGTATCTCAGCCCGCACACAATGAATGAATTAAAGCAACGAACTCCCATTGAAACTCAACGCGCGCTAGTAAAAATGATTCCAAGCAATATTGATCCCTCAAGGAACTTATTTCCTTCCTACCCTACTTTTATTTTTATACATAGTTTCCTGTATTGTACCTTTTCTAACCTTGGCTTCTTAACCTTCGACAGCCTTTCGCCTTTGTCGAGATTCCCAGCCTATCCGTGTCGTTTCGAGATGTTAGTGAGTAGTCCTCAAAATGGTTGTTCCCAATGTGACATCTAACACGGATATCCTGAAACCGCGTGCTGCGTTCAAGCTGGCTACCTACAATGTTCGGACGCTGATGCAAATCGGACAACAGGCAGGGTTGGCAAGAACTTTGGAAAGCCTCGCTATCGATGTCTGCTGCATTTCGGAGACCCGCATTCAAGATCCCAGTGAAGTGCTTCGACTATCCTCTCCATCTGGAAGTTCTAGTAGTATGTACCACCTGCGCTTATCCGGGGACCCTGTGGCGTCGGCATCCGGCGTAGCTGGTGTCGGTGTCGCACTGAGCGCTAGAGCCGAAGCTGCACTGCTCGACTGGATTCCCATTAACAGTCGTTTATGTGCTGTGAGGCTGGAAGGTTATACGAAAGTAAAGAGTAGTAGGCCAGATAGGCGGTGTCTATTTGTTGTCTCTGCCTATGCACCGACGGATTGCAGCCCGGATGCAATGAAGGATGAGTTTTACTACCAACTGAGCGATCTCTTGAAACAGGCGGGTCGGAGGGATATCGTAGTGCTGGCTGGGGACTTGAATGCACAGGTGGGGCGTCTAAGCTCAGAGGAGAATCGTCTAGGTGGTCATTGGGGACTACATGGTCGCAGGTCAGATAATGGGGACCGTCTTCTGCAGCTTTGCGCGGATCACAACCTATTTCTAGCTAGCACCAACTTCCGGCACAGCCATCGCCGTAGCGCTACCTGGCGTCCTCCCTCTGCGAAGCAAGCTTGGACTCAGATTGATCATATCGCGGTCAGTTTCCGGTGGCGAGGATGCATACAAGACTGTCGCTCCTTCTGGAGCACATGCCTGGACTCCGATCATGCGTTAGTGTGTGCCAAGTTCGTCTTGCGATTTGGTGGGGTTCGTAAAAGCCGTCGTCTAAGCGTTGATGTGAGCAAACTAGTAGCACCTGCTACTTCTTTGAAATATCAGAATGAGTTAAAAACAATGCTTGCCAGCAACCCCCCAAGTAGTATAGATGAACATTGGCTTCATGTGCAAGGTGCCATGCAAAAGGCGAGTGTAGCCGCTTGCGGCTTGAAAGAATGCTCCGCTAACAACCACTGGGTTTCTGCGAGTTCCTTGCAACTCATGGATGAACGCCGGTCCATTCCGGCTGGCAGCGAATACAACAATCAGCGAAAGGCGCTCACGCGCAAGATTAGACAGTGTTTACGTAAGGACCGCGAAGCCTGGTGGTCAGAACGTGCGTGTGAGATGGAGTCAGCTGCTGCATCTGGCAACAGTCGGAAGCTGTTCCAACTCATACGAGCCACCGGCAGCAAGAAACAAGGTGTCAGCGAGACGGTCTGTGAGGCAGATGGCACTCCAATTACCAGCCTGAAAAGACGCCTGGAACGCTGGGCAGAGCACTTCGGGAAGCAGTTCAGCTGGCCACCAGCTTCAGTGTCTACTATCATTAGCCCGAGTGCTCCTTGGTCGGTTAGTACCGACCCACCCACCGAAGCGGAGGTCCGTAAGGAACTCCAAGTTCTGAAACGCCATAAGGCGCCCGGCCCAGACAAATTACCCCCGGCTCTTTTTAAAGATGGTGGCGAGACTCTCACAATGGCTCTAACTGGGTTGTTCAGGAAGGTGTGGGAGACAGAGAGTGTACCATCAATGTGGAACGAAGCCATTATCGTCCCCATCTTTAAAAAGGGTCGACGTAATTCGTGTGACAATCATAGGGGTATCAGTCTGTTACCAGTCGCGTCTAAAATATTGGCTGCTGTCTTGCTTCGCAGACTGTGCAAAATACGTGAAGGATTGATTCGCGAAGAGCAGGCTGGGTTTCGTTCAGGTCGTGGATGCATTGATCATGTGTTCACCCTTCGTCAGTTGTTGGAACACCGCCACACGTATTGCAGGCCAACGATCGTTGTGTTTCTTGATATTAGGGCTGCCTTCGATTCGTTGGACAGAACTGTGCTCTGGAACTGTCTGTTAGAGAGAGGTGTACCTGAGAAATTTGTTAACATCCTGAAAGCCCTATACAGAAACACCTCAGGTAGAGTGAGGGCATACAACCAACTATCACCACTGTTCCCAACCAACAGTGGGGTTAGACAGGGTTGCCCAATCTCTCCATTTCTCTTTAACTTTGCCATCGATGACATTCTGGAGTCAGCTCTGAAGGATGTGCGTGAAGGTGGTGTAGATCTGCTACCTGGAGATAGACTTTTCGACCTCGAGTATGCAGACGATATCGTCTTACTGTGCGATAGCATGCAGGCTGCCCAAATCGCACTTAATCAGTTGGCGATCAGTGTCTGTAAGTATGGTATGTGCTTTGCGCCGTCTAAGTGCAAAGTACTGTTACAAGATTGGCAGGAGCCTGTACCTGCACTCACTCTTGCGGGTGAACCGCTTGAAGTTGTTGATAAGTTTGTGTACCTGGGTAGTTGTGTGAGTGCTGGCGGAGGGGTGACGGATGAGATTTCCAACCGTATAATGAAGGCTAGGGTGGCATACATCAACTTGAGCCACCTATGGCGCCGTCGCGACGTTAGCCTGGCTGTCAAAGGTCGGGTATACAATGCTTCGGTGCGGGCTGCGCTGCTCTACGCCTGTGAAACCTGGCCTCTCCGAGCTGAGGATGTGCGGCGACTCTGCGTGTTCGATCACCGCTGTCTCCGCAGGATTGCTTGCGTTCGATGGCATCATCGCGTGAGTAATTCTGAGGTTCGGCGGCGTGTGTTTGAACACAGTGGAGATCACCATTCATTGAATGTCGTCATCTGGAAACACCGGCTCCGGTGGCTTGGACATGTGCTCCGAATGTCACCCCAGAGGCTTCCGTACAGGTCTCTGTTCGCTAGCCCTGGGACGGGATGGAAAAGGCGGAGAGGTGGTCAGTCCATGACGTGGCGTCGTGGGATGAAGGATTTTTGTGCTAGATTAGCATCGGTTGGTGTGTCACGACTCCCTGGTTGGGGTCCGAGAGATAGCTCAAATCGATGGCTCGAAACGTTATCGGATATGGCCAAGAATCGTAATCAGTGGCGAATGTGTTGCGATTTCCTTCTTTCTTCCCTTCCCGATGATAGCTAACGAACACTGTTTGAACTTGTTAAGCATGACTGTTTTCCTTCCAGATGAAGTTCTTTATCCGTTCTCTACTTATATATATTTTTTCTTTTCCTTCCTTTTTTCTTTTGATCTATGTTGTTTTATTATTATTGTGTGGCGCATCTTTCTTGGTGCCATATTGTACCAAGTTTTTTATGCGTTTAAATAAATAAATAAAAATAAACTTCGTTTCATCTTAATAAGTTGAGCTCAAATCATAGGTGGTTTTTTTTATCTTACAAGTATGTTGTTTAAGGCGTCCGTAATAGTACTCATTTTTATTTGCATTACCTCCTGTAATACCTATCAGAACTACCTCATACAACAGAAGTTTATGATAACCTAGTCTGACTCATTTGTCTTACTCAATGTTCTATGAATCCTACTCAACATGAGAAATTACACAAAGCTGCCCGCGGTTAAGTTTCTGAAGTTTTTATGGTCTCTTCACATCTAACATTCAAGTTCCGTAGTAGAATCTATTTTCATTGGCAGTAAGATTCGGCTATCTGGGTCAAATCTAACCAGGATTATTATTGTTGAGCTCCACGTGGAACGATCGTTTGGTCATTTCGATCTGGCTTGTGAACACTTCTGGTTGACATAAGCGGTGTTTACAACTACTCACATTGATCCGTAGTACGCAATATTTTGTTTGTTTTATTCACTGTCACCTATGGTATCAAGGAGATCGCGTATTTTGATCTCAGTGTTTCAGTTTTCCGGAGGATATCTTGGTTAGTCAGCTTTTAATTAAATCTGTGTAATCTGTAAATTATATAGTCTATTAAACGTAAAGTTGGTTGAAATGCTTCACCCTCTGCTTAAGTTACATAACATAACTTTTTTTTCCAATTTGATTTGTAGAAAGGGCAATTTTTAGACGACTTTCTCACTTCGTATTACTTGTCATGTCATACACAACCAATTGGAATTGACCAAACTCCAGGTGAATCTGAATTAGCCAAACTTAAAGCTGGATCAAATTTCCCTGCCAGTAATTCACCAATGAATAGTACGCTCACCTTCAACTCTTTACTTAATGATACTACTAGCGGTAGTGGTAGCAGTAGTAGTGAGTACAATTCATTACCAAATACAACAATGCCAAAGTCTTTGTCTAGCCATTTTAAATCAGATAAATATTCCGCAGAAAAATTTATAGATTATTATGGTCGTTATGTATTGAATTCAGTACAGTATAAGTCACATGGACGAACTAGCTTAGATCATCGTCTACGTTCTCGTGTCTACTGGAATAATGCTGGTCTAACCTATGAGAAACGAAGAGATAAGACGAATGATGTAAGTCTCTGATTTTTGAAAATTAAAAAGATATTGTCTTTAGAACTTTCAGTATTTATTTTTGTTACGTCGTATGTAATATAATAAAAGTAAACTTTCTCAGTTTAAGTTTTTAAGTTATGATGTTATATTCATGGCATTTTATATTTGAAATCTCGACACACACACACACACAGGAAAACAATTAAAATTAAAAGTCAATCTGAACGAAGAATATTCCTTTCAATAACTTCTCTTCAGGTTCTTACAATTATAAAATATAATATTTGTGGTCGTTACAATAAAGGCCAGTTATGCGGCGGATACATTTTTAACATAGAATAACAGATTAGTTATGGGGTGTCAAAATAAATAGTCCTATTTGTGTGACAAACGTTCTGTGCTGAAATCGATCACAAAATATTGTGAAACGGGAGACGATGGTGGTGATTAATCATAATAGATTTGTAGAATGTGGGGTAGGAAAATTGACAAGTCAGTTCAAGGTTATAAAAGGTGTCAGGTGACTGGCTAGTACAAAGTGGTCTGTGTTAAACAGGAGATAGTACGACTGCAATGAAATAACGAATATATAAAGTGAAACAGGTGGAGGCATATATTGAGAATAGAGATAATATCACTAATAATAAGTCCGGATAGTATAAATGAAAAATTCGATAGAATTGAGAGAATGTTTGCATGAAGGGCATAAATTATGACGAATAATAATGATATTTGTAATAATAAGCAAAGGAAAAAAACCAAGAGGGTTAAGGGGAAGGAGCACTCTTGGTGAGATGAATCATTAACATAATTCTCGGGTAAAGTAGTACTGTTTTGCATGCTTATGAATATATGATTATTCAAAATGAACTGATGATTTGCAGAGTGAATTACTTTTCTAATCTTTGAACTCTCTTTCCAATTGCTTAGTTACATCTCCTGGGCAGCAGAGTTAAGTATTATTATTATTCTCTTGGTTTCCTAGTGGAACATAGGGCTTCAACTGCACGTCTCCACTTGCCACTTCTGTCTTCTGCTGTACTTTTCACCTGCATCCATGTTAGTCCATACTCTTTCAACTCCTCTTCACACGATCTCCATATCACCCTTGCACTGACGTCCCACTCGCCGATTCCCTTTCGGGTTCCACTCGAGCAATGGCCTGACGCTAGCGCGATGTCACCTAGCGGCCTTCTTAGCGAGTGTCCGATCCATGCCCACTTTCTCCTGCATATTTGTTAGTTGGCGATTGGTTCTTTATGACCCGCCCGCCAAGTTTCTGATCCGTATAGAAGAACTGACTGACTTGACGTTTGTATTGAAAATCCGACCGAATTTTGTTGTTGATGCTGAGTGACGAAGATTTCCAGATTAGTTTCAGGTTGATGAATGTGTTTCTCGCCTTCCCGATTCTCGATTTGACATCCTGGTCCGTTCCGACTGGCTGTAGTTGAGACAATGCTCCCTAGGTAGGTGAATGAATGAAGTAGACTCTTTCAAATCCCTCCCGTTGATGGCGATTGATGCTGGATGTTGCTGTTGTTGTTGTCGGCTGGTTATTTTCATAACCTCCGTCTTGTCTTTGTTCACCTGGAGTCCTGTCTTTGCTACTTTTTCGACCAGTTTGTCGGATTTCGCTTGTAAGTCTTCGATTTTGTGTGACAGTTGAGTTGATTTTGTGTGCAGGTTGAGTAATCAGTCAATATTCGGATGGATGTCTTGAAACTGCTTTAAATTTTATTTCTATGAAATACATAATATTACTAACTATTAGTAGGTAAATAGATATATGTTCCATATATATATATATATATATATATATATATATATATATATATATACCATATAGATATTTTCCTATTCCAGTAAATGATCTAGTTTCATACAGGATCCTAATCTTCAGCATTGTTTTAAACATCAATGTATTCATCCATCGTTCGCCTACACTATGTGAATAAGCAGAAGTTGGAAATTATGTGTCATTGAATTCCATCTCGTTAATGCTAACTTGCTTTTTTTTATTATACCTACTCGCATTGAAACTTACGCCTCACCAATTCATGAATTGTTGTTGTTGCTGTCGGGTTACAAGGCTTAAATGAAACAACTGCTAAGCGCCTCTTAATTTCTCTTAGTTTGCCTTTTGCTTATATTAGTTAATGGCGAATTCCAGCCTAAAATCAATTAAGTTCTCATAAATCTGAAAACAAATTGAAAGACTTTCTTTTGTCATTAACAAATTACTTACAATTAAGGTTATGGTGATAAGATAGCCTCTTTGCTTACACAATTATTCTAGAGGGGAAATACTTTCGTTGGTTGAATAGTCAGCTTAATCATGTGAAGTGTTGTTCCAAACAGCTGGTAATAGTAAAAGTTATTTCAGGTCAATGTATGGATGTTAATTGTTTCATTACTTGGCTAGGTGAATTCAGTACTCACTCATTTATATGATCAATAATGTTATTATTTATCCGAATGGCTTTCTCCCCATTTTAGACCAGTGCAGCTTAAGTTCGATGCATAGATTTTAAGGTATATTTATTATAACATTGAACAATAACATTAGTTACTGTCTGACAATCTATATTTACACTGTGAGAGCGGGGCGAGGTGAGGCTGTAATCAAGAACCTAACAGCTTATTGCTAATGTCTTCGACAGTGAGTGACATAAGTTAGGATCTCCGAATTTTCCCGAAGCTTTTTGTACGCTTTAGTTGATGATTACCAATAATCAGTCGGTCATTTAATTCTAAGTTTAGTAGAATTATGCAACGTTGACTAGGTATATATACATGCTCCATGGGGAGAAAAAACACTACAGATGACTGTATGAATGTTGAGGGAGATTACAGTCAAACTGTATAGTGTGTCGATGTTAGTTGGTAGAGAGAGAGAGAGGCAGTCAACCATACTTTACCGTCTTCTTAGTACAAGCAAAGTGATTGGATATCCTTTGAGCTCTTCACAGATATCTTCAATGATAAGAAAATATAGTGTATGCTTTCTAGAACAAATTGATGCATATAGTATGAATACCAAACCATCATTGACTTCTATGAATATAAGCTATGCTTTTGTAAAACATAAATGGAGTTCATTATTGTATAACTGTCAAACCAGATGAGAAAGATGCATGACAGCAGAAGTTATCGACAACAAAAAGGAACTCCCCTTCACAGTAGACTCTTCAGATGTTTCAGCCAGGTTTTAAAATTGTTAGTTACAACACCCCTACAACTTAGTTCCTTGTATCTTCTATCTTCTCTTCACTTTTAGGCGTCTCAAATATCAACTGTACACTTAGATGGGTTATCTGAAATGATTTTATACTTATTTGATAAATTGACAATCGACTCCTCAACATCAACTACATCATCTTCCACTGATCCACAGTCATTATCGTCCCGGCTAAATGAAACTGAAACCAAAACTGCCACCTCTTCTGAATCACCAAGTGACTGTGGAAACGCTTCTCAGATGCTTAAACAAAAGAAATCAACAGATCCTTGGGATGTTACTAATCCATGTTGGAGTGAAGCACTTCTTAATGGTCCATCATTACCAATTATTGACAGTAATAATAATAACAATAATAATAATACTTGTGTGACTACTGAATCTCAGTCGACACAATCAATAACCACAACACCAATATCTACAACACCTCAATTATCATCGTCTAATGAAACAACATCGAACACTAAATCCATCAATACATCTGATGATATTCAAGCCAGTAGCAATTCACGAATTATGCTACCGACAGTATCAATTAGTTTACATGATTTGTTCTCAACATTGCAGGAGTTGTACACAATTATTCAACATGAGTTTAAAATACGTTTACGTCAGTTAATTCTGAGAATAGGCATTATCCTTATCACCTATTTTAAAACACCAATTGATAATTGGTTAAGTCAACGTTTATTACATTACTTTCATAGTACTTTTTCAGATGAAAACTTAGCTAGTATGTTAGAAACCATTAAAAGTAAGTTATACTGGTATGTGTTCATGATGTGTAAGCTAATTGTTTCTGTTACTTTTGTTAAGCACTTCTTTTGTGCACTTCATTCATATTCAGTGAAATCTAGCAATGTAGGTTTAGAATTTGTATGTTGCCTTCATTTCGCTTCACCGGTTAACACTTCTTAAATCTTAATGGAACTTGATTTCAGAAGGTTACTGAGTGAAGATAGCTTACTATTCACTACTATGTCTGAATTGTCAATAAAGCCAAGTATTATTTATTTTTATATTGTTTTCAAGTCTACCTCTTTGATCTGAATTACTGTTTTTTTCCGTTTTACGACATTTTGCAAGGATATTGTAATTTAGTAGTCGAATCGACCCAAGTGGGTGAATGATCAATGAGCTTGGTCTTGTAACCTGAAGGTTCGATTCCTTTTAGTTGCTTTAGAGTGGAGTTACACTGTAACGGCAGACGATAAGAAAATTCTTTCTGGCTCGCCATTTGATCTTCAGTATGGAGCAAGCAAAGGCAGTTGTTGATAAAAGTCTTCAGTATCCTGATGGAAATGCTTTTCGTGACTCACTTGCCGAGTTTCTGACCCATATAGAAGAATTAACTGGCTTAGCATTTGTATATCCTTAGGTTGAGTGCAGATGTCAAAACCTATATCAGAGCAATGAAGATATATCTTGCTTCTCTGATTCTGGCTGGCTGGTTGGCTTTATCATCTTCATCCGTCCCAAGTATCTGTGGTTGAAACGAAGCTTCCTAGATGAGTGAAGGAAGTAACCTTTGTCAAATTTCTCCCATTGATGATGATTGGTGCTGGTTGTTGTTGGTGTTGGTTATCTCCATCACCTGCGTCTTCTCTATGTTCACTGGTAGTCCTGTCTTCGGCGCTTCTTCTGACAGTTTGCTAGTTTTCACCTGTAGGTTTTCGAGTTTATACTAACTTCCTTACATTCACTTACGTCTATTATTATTAACTACTGGAACTATAAAAAGTGAAGATATTTAGAACTACATCATGTCTCTATTTCGTTTTTATTCTATCGACTTAATTAAAGTATGCAGAAGAAACCCTTTTAAGGTGCGTTTTTAGTTATTAGTAAAATTCAGCAAAATAAAACCAAATAATATCATATGATTCTGATTACACTCTTGTTCTGTTCTTACATAATTTCAAAACACTGTATCTAGTCACATTATGGCTACAAATAAGAGTTGATCGATCCACTCTTGTAAATTAGCAAAAAAAATAAATAAAAAATAAAAAAAAACCGCGTCGGTGGCATAGCGGTTAGGACGCTCGCCGACCATGCACATGGTCCGGGGTTCGATCCCCGGTCGACGCACTCCTTTACCTCACTGGGCCAGAAATAATGCTGGTAAAGGGGAAAGGTTGGGTATGAGGCTAGCAACATCATCCTGTAAAAATATACACTGCTACAGAAACTTCAAACCAATGGCTTGAAGCCCTATGTTCCACTGGGAACGTGAAGGAAAAATTATTATTATTATTATAAAGTATAACAGTACCTCAATGTTTTGTTGTATTTTATACACACATACACAAACACAAAGAGTTTTGATATATATCTGGGTTCTTCTTCCAGCTAACATTGCATTCCATAACATCTTCTTACAGCATTATCTTGTCATTATAACACATGGACATTAGTATATTGACTTAACGCAAACAAAAATGCTATTCTTATTGTTAAAACAGGAGATAGTTTGTCTATTGTCACAATCAATACTTCCACATAATCGTAGGTGTACGATCCAACTGTTCAACACAGACCTGATTTCCAACCGATAAGTTTTTGGTTTCGATAACATTTCATTGGCTTCTGTACTGTCTGTCTGTCTGGATTCAACATAGAACTTTGCACGGAAGTGCACCAGTTCGAGTTGCCACGTTCCAAATAGCACACAAAGGTAGACAAGAAGATGAGGGAAGAGAATCAATAGAGTTTTACAGGTATAAGAGCGAAACAGAATGGGTAATGGTAGAAAGAAATATGAAAGATTACAGAGACTGAATACATCTGCGCTGGCCATTGACAACGATTTTGAGCCATGTCACCTATTGTCTCCAGCCATTGATTCTTAGAGTCCCGAGGACCCCAACCCGGAAGTCTGCATCTCCCTACCTGACTGACTCAGTTTAACTGTCAAGGATTTCATGGATTGATGCCATGTTTTTGTTTGGCCACCACTTACTGTTCTCCAACCTGCACCTATATTAGCTAGTAATGCCCGTCGTCGGGGGAGGCGATGGTTAGGCATGCGCAGCATGTGACCTAGCCATCTCAATCTGTGTAACTTTATAGCCTCTTCGATTGATTTTCCCTGTTTGCCCAACACTCTACGCCTAACGTCATCATTACTTACCTTATTATATCACCTAACATGAGAACGAGATCGCAGACATCTATGATCGAAAGCAGTCAATTTTTTCATGTCTTTAACTCGTATTGGCCATGTTTCAGAGCCATAGAGAAGGACAGAGCGAACTGATGAGCAGTACACACGTCCCTTGGTTGATAGCCGGATGTCACGCCTATGCCAGAGATGGTGTAAGTCAGCGAAAGCAACTCGAGCTTTTTGGATCCTTGCTGAGATTTCGTTGCCAATCAGTCTGTTGGTGCTAATACAACTTCCCAAATAGGTGAAGTGGTCAACATGTTCTATCACTTCACTCCTTATCACTAAGTTAGGAGTTGACGTAGTCCAGTCCTGTAGCAGCATCTTACATTTTGCAGGGGCGAATCGCATGCCAAACATACGAAGATTGCTGCTCAAGGTGTTCAGAAGACTCTGCATTTTGTCAGCATCCTCCCCTAACAGGACTATGTCATCTGCTTCCGTACGTCTCATAGATAGAGACTTATACATTCTGGTACACAGAAATGTATATGCTGACCGTGTAGTTGAGAGTTGCATTATCTGTTATTACCAATTCAAAAGGTAATAAGAAGGAAGATAACAGAAATCGAGCATGGGAAGTCGCGTCAATAGGTTTTCGTTCATATAGTAATTTCGAACCAGTGAGTTTTAGTCATCCCAATGACGCTCCTGACTTCTGAGTGAATCTATAACTTTCAGTATTTTGTTGATCTGTCATATATATGAGAATTATCGTATCACCTCACTGCTTGGTGTCTCTTTTTACTCTCGACTTCAAATTGAAAGCATCTGGTCCTTTGTGTTGGTGTTGACTAAGTTGTATCACTCAATTTTTTGCAATCTGATCAACCTACTAGGTGTTAGATAGTTTGAGGCAGTTAGCAAGAAGCTCTGAACTTAATTTGTGTGTGTTTTAGCAGTTACCAACAAGGCGTATCTGTAGCCTCTAAGGGAGCTGATTTCTTCTTTTGAGCTTCGAATGTGAGTCAACAAGCGCCGCGGTCAGAAATGTTTCTGCACGAAGCTATTTGGGCCGACGATTGACTTTCTGTGGGATTTTGATATCTCTAACTACCGCACTGGGTAACATGGGTCCGAGAGTCACAGGGAAGAACGTTAGCTACAAATACGTCTTTCTTACGAATGCCAACAAGTTCATGGCTTCCCGCTGATTGCCTCCAACTATCTAATAATTTTTAATTGCACTAAGTTGAAGTTTTTTTTTATTATGTTATTGCATTATTACTCCTTTTTTTCATTTTGTTTCAATCTAGCAAATATATTCCATTATTCCGCTAAAAAGTGAGTACTAGTCTGTTTTTAAAAAAAATAATTCATGTTAACTTTCATTACATCCACCATTCGGACACTATGAATTGACGGAGTTGTATACTTTAGAGACAGCTATAATTGGTGACTAGTGTATTAGGGGTAGGTTTATGTATTGATCAAATCCTATGAATAAGCAGTCAAATAAAGAACAATGGTTACTGAGAAACATATGTACTCCGTATGTGTGATTATAAGACAATGGCATTTACTATCCGAGCTATTTTTGATTCAGTGTGTTGGACGCGTGTTGATTATTTTCAGCATGACATGACTCTGTTGAGTAAATTGATTCCAATAAACCGGTGACGATTTCATCTACAAATGAATGAAATAACTCGTCATTATTTAATTCCTTTCATAAATTTGTGATTAGACCCCAACTACTCGTAATAATTAGTAATATATGTCATGTAGCACTCATTTCTCCAATCTTGTAGTCATTTAGTAATATATCAAACAGCTCATATTATGAAAGATCAGAATTTTGTTTTTTCACAATATCTGTAACTCGTGGGGGGGGGGTTGGTATCTTAAAAATATCTGGGATTTCGTCTCCACTAAACAGTATTTTTTTCGCATATTTTCTTCAACTATTTCTGAGCTTGCAGTTAAGATCATTCCTAAGTTAAATGACACCATCATGTTTAAAAACATAATCATGCTAGTTTTGTTCCATCCCAAACAAAATATTAAGCCGCATCATCTTGGAGAGAATCAAACAAGCCAACCTGGATGAAAAACTCCGACCGGAACAAGCTGGATTCAGGAGAAACAAATCATGTATTGATCAAATCGCCATTCTACAGATCATCATTGAACAAAGCTTGAAATGGCAGTCACCTCTCGATCTCAACCTCATCGACTTTGAAAAGGCCTTCGACAGCGTCGACCGAGAGGTAATTTGGCAACTACTTCGCTACTACGGCGTCCCATCGACAATTATACATCTCATCCAACAGTTATACGACAATGCTGCATGCCAAGTAATCCACAACGGGAAACTTGCGGAAGCCTTCGAAGTGAGGACGGGAGTGAGGCAAGGCTGTCTACTATCACCAATGATCTTCCTGATTGCAACTGATTGGATAATGCGACAGACAGCGGGAAGCGATGAAACAGGCATAAAATGGGCCCACACAAAAAACTTGTAGGATCTGGATTTTGCCGATGATATATGTCTGATTTCCCACAAACTGGAAGATATGCAAGTGAAAAGCAACAAGTTGGCAGAAGAAGCATCCGGAGAAGATAAGACTTCAAGTGAACATAGATAAAACAGAGGTGATGAAGATTCCTGGCCAACACCAACAGCAGCAACAACAACAACAGACAGCAATCAGCATAAATGGGAGGAACCTGAGAGAAACAACCTCCTTTACCTACCTAATTGGGAAGCGTCGTTTCAACTACAGGCGGAACTGACGAGGATATCAAAGCAAGGATCATCGGGAAAGCAAGACAAGCTTTGATTACTCTTAAGTCTGTGTGGAGGTCAACATCACTCCTCAGCATCAAAAATAAAATCCGGATTTTCAACTCCAATGTGAAGTCAGTGCTACTCAACATACGGATCAGAGACTTGGCCAACGCGTCATAAAGAGCATCTCAAACAAACTTCAGACCTTCATTAACAGTTGTCTTCTCTCAATACTCAAGATCAGATGGCCAGCCAGAAAAGATCACCAATAGGGATCTCTGGCAATGAGCGAACCAACTCAGCAGGAACCGATTGTGAAACAAATAGGCAGGAAGAAATGGAGATGGATTGGCCATACACTGAGGGAACCATCAAGTGACATCACTAGACAAGCTATTGCTCGATTTGAACTCGAAAGGGAAGCGGCGAGTTTGTTGTCAGTGCGAGGGTGACTTGGAGGAGGTCATGTGAAGAGGAGATGGAAGCATGTGGTCAGACTTGGAGCGGAGTGAAAAAGTTGGCAGCAAATCAAAGGGAATGGAGATGCGCAGCTGAAGCCCTATGTTCCTCTAGGAATTAAAGGATATAATAATAATAATAATAAAGGAGAGATAGAGGGAGAGTTTATAGATAGTTAGATGCATGTAGTTAGTACTACAGCCTGTTGCATACATACTATTGATATTAATTGTGAATTTCCTGTGAATTCTTTGTATAAAAGGATAGACAATGGTGTTAGTTATCAGATACGTCTCAGTATTCAGTAATGGTATTCCAAGGTAAACAGTATCTTTACCAATTATACGTTTTGAGTAGAAAACGTAAGCTCAAAGGGTTTCTTTTTGTTGTTGAAATATTGAAATACACAACTTTAAATCATTGTCTCTCTGTTTCTATTCTGATAGAGTTGATATGGATAAATCTGAACGTAAAGAAAAAGCACGTGCTACACTTGAGAAAGCGATACTTGGTAAGGCTTATTTCTTTCATCTGTTGCATCAAGATTATATATATATATATATATATATATATATATATATATATATATATATATATATATATATATATATATATGTTTCAGTGGAGTAAAAACAACGCTAATCATTTTTACTAAATGAATTAGACAGCTTTGTTGACACGTTCTGTCGTGATTATTATTTTGTTTTCACAAAGAAGTATTTCAGTTTCTTTCTTTGTTCTCAATGTTGTGTACAATGACACAGATTTCTATCCTCCAATGTATTTTCATTTTGCACTAATGATTGACTGACAGGTTTCAAAGTAGAATTTTGCACATATGTGCAGCAGTTTGAGTTGCCACACTCACACACAATGTAACACACAAAGCAAGAGAAGAGATTCAAAAGAGAGATAATAAACAAATGTGTGAGACATAAAGATTAGTAATATGGAAGAACAGTGTAGTTTTATGGGATATGACAAATCACAAGGAGTGAATGCATCTGCGCTGTCATTGACAACGATTTTGAGCCATATCATCGATTGTCCTCAGTTATTTGTTCTTAGAATCCCAAGGACCCCATTTGGGAAGTGTGTAATCTCTCTACATGGCTTAAACTAACTGTTATGCATTTCATTGACTTGTGGGGCCATATGTTGATTCGATCACCACTATCTCTTTTTGACCCTGATTAATCCTATGTCAGCTAACATCGCCCGTTTTCGAGGAAGGGGATGGCTAGGCTAGGCATGTGTAGCACATGTCCTAACCATATCACTCGATGTAACTTCACAACCTCGTCGATTGATTTCCCCTCCTTACGTAGCACTCGACTGAAGCCTAGCCTCAATATTACTCACTGTATTATGCCACCTAACATGGGAGATAGGACACAAGCACCTATTATCAAAGACTGCAAGCTAGCCTTTTCATGTCTTCCACTTTCAATGACCATGTCTCAAAGTCATAAAGAAGGACGGAGTGAATTGTTGAGTAGTACACACGTTCTTTGATCGACAGGCGGATATTGCGTCTACTTCAGAGATGGCGTAAGTTTGAATATGCCAAAGGAGCCTTCTGTATCCATGGTGAGATTCTGTCAGCGACCAACCTGTTAGCTCTGGATGATACAACTTCCCAAATAAGTGAAGTAGTCAACATGTCCCACCACTTCACTACCTTTCTTAAGCTAAAAGTGAGTCACTGTGGTCCAGTACTGTAGCATCTTCTTACATTTGACAGTAGTGAATCTCATGGCATGCAGTAATGGTTAGTCTCAGATAAAAACGTAACCGTTGTCTAGTATTCCTAATGGTTTATTAGCTATCAACTCTTAAGTTAATTTGCCTCTAAATGATGCACAAATGTCACATTACGCATCGGCAGCATTCCTTATGCTTAATTTCCATTGTGTTAGGATTATCTTTGTCGCGTGAGATGTAGAAAAAAGTCCGAGTAGTTGGATTCTGTAGAACTCCAAATGACATTCGATAGTCCAGCGGTAGAATGGTCGCTAACCACGCATGTGGTCCAGGGATCAAATTCCAGCCGACGAACTCTTAAACCTCTCTTAGGTGGTAGTAAGCTCGGTAAAGAGAGGAGACTGACGTGAGGCTAGCAACTCTACCCCATAAAAATAAAAGCAGTGTCACTGGAACTTCAAAACTCAAGCTTGAAGCGCCATATTCTACGCGAAACTCCAAAGAATAATATAAAAGAGAGATTACGGGACAGATTACAGTCATAAGCCTATTTAACGTTCATACACCCATTGGTTTCTCCTACATTACTGTTTTGAAACCTAGAATTCAGTTGAATATATGAACACGCAGAGTTCGGACAGCTGATTCGCTTGTAAACTTAAAACCTAATAAATGGGCTGAATATGGTCTAGATGCTGCATTCGGTAAATTCGTTGCACTAGCGGTAAAAACTCGAGATTGAAGTGTCTGACAAGATGCTTTATCTATCAGTCATCGGCGGTGAATACCACATGATAACTTTGCTGACGATCATGAATTATCATAATTATGATGGCATGAGATAGTTAAATATATTGGGGTGTCTTTGTGCAGTAATAAACTTCATGACTGCCGTCAAAATCTTTTGTCTGATATAATTCTGGATTCGGGTTCGTTCTAATGATACTTCAAAGCTCATTAATGTTTGACTAATAAGTTGACTACTATTCCCACACTAAGAAGACATAAAAGACGGACTGAGGAGGCAAAGATTTATTGCTCCATGGAAAAGGGCAGTATAACTAGAAAATACACCTACTTGTGTAGTTATTTCACATGACTAATAAATTACTAGTTTAATATATAAAAAGCGTGCATTTAACTGGCTGGCATGTGCTAATAAAAAGCCAATAACGTGACCTATAATCTACGTTAGGATCTAATAATCTGGTTTACAGATGATGTGAGAAACACTGAATCACTCTCTATATGTTCCCTACTATCTGAACACTTTTTTCAACTTTACGCATTTAATGTCACTTTGTACAGCTCTAGATAGATTGCAGTCTAATTGTCTTATTTTGTTTAGATCTAAAACCTCCTGATATATGTAATAATGAAATGTATTTAATCAAGCATTAGGAAATGTAAAACAGATGTTTATTTTCATACCATCCTAGAAATCGCTGGAGACAGTCAGCCACAAGGAAAGTAGTAGGAATAAATCAATCAATCATAACACACAGAACTCAACTTTTATAAAATAGGTCCTATGCAAATGGCTGAGTAGAAAGAGATGATCATAAAGTAACTATTACCCTCGTATACGTTGATAAATCGAGCTATTTTAATCAGATTACTCGATAAACGACTTTAACAATGTGAAGACTAAAATCAATAAACTTCTGTGACGACTAACTGAATTCTGACGAAAACGTGAAACCTAAAGTTGGATGGTACTCAGAGGGAAATAGACAACTTTCAGTTCTTGAGTTTTAATCGTTGTTTGGCGATTTGTTTTAAAAATTGGCTACTGATTTAGTTGTTTTTTTAGTGGAATTTCATAGTCAGTGGCTAGTATGTCCAGACCTAAATGTCTTACATAGGAAGACCGCTCAGTGTAACGTAGTCTGCTCTTCTGAAATCTAAGACAGTTTCACGTAACACAGTGTATTCGTCGAATTTACTACCTTGTTATACGGTTCACGATTAACTTGTTTCTTTATTGGGTTGTCTTCACTAATTCATTATTATTATTATCGTTTCCTTGTAATCGTCTATTATATAACACCAGCACTAGACTAAGCTACATTAGATAGTGCTGTACTGTAGGCTCAGGCTTAAAGTCTATTTCTATCGCTTTGAATTCCTATCTGTATTAAAATTTTTTATAACAAGTTTTTGCGAGTTCGAAATCTGCCTAGTGTATTAAGGTTTAATCAGTCGGTTAGTATCCGTAATGGATGAGCCTTACTGCTTATTGAAATAAGCTTCATAAAGCTGTTACGGTATCTGTGTTGTGTGTTTTTGTTTTAAATCAGTCAAACTGGTTGGTGTAGAACTACCATTTACCAACTATTACTTTTATTCTTTTTAGTAGTAGCATGAGTATATAGATTGATGTTAAAGTTCACTTCCTAAATGCATCACTTTCACTGAATAAGTCATACTATTCTACAACAGTAAATCTTGTTTGATAGTCATATCTAGGTAGCAGGCCTCAGAGTTACACATATAAAATTCCATCTTTATGGTTTCCTGCTAATAATATGTGATCCGTTGCATTAGAAATGCTTCTTTGTTACTTGCATCCTAGTGGTGTTCATTCGGATTGGTGTATTTTGGTGTGTGATATGTCTAACATCACTCTAGTATAGATTTGACCTCGAGCTGACCATTGGAAAATCGGGGACTTCTCTTCGGTACGTCCCCACCAGCATTTGAGTCCAGAACCTTCAGGTGACAACGTAAGCTCTCGTAGACCATTTATCCACTGAAACCTAAATCATTGGCCCCATGAAATGCAATCTATTTTCTCAATTCGCCAACAGCTAGCTAGTGTCATCGGCGAGTGAGTGAGTAGTAACTGACTTGGTGGACGACTCCGTTGGTCATGACTTCTCACATGGCTTTCCAATGATTCTCTCTCTCTAACTAACGGCAGCTTGTGTTCTAACCTTATAGGAGAATTGAATCCTTCTGATAATAATCACTCCTGTATATTTCATTCATTAAATTTTTCGTATTCTCTAGTATGTAACGCTGCATTATGCACTCCTTGCTTTCTTTTTAATGCTTGTTCACTCTCATATTTTACTTGAATAGGTATAAAAGGTCTTTCATATGTCACTGATCCAGAGAAGATATGTGATGATGTGAATTGTCTTTTCGATTGTTTTCAATACTCAAAATGGAATAAACAATTAACTTATGTTCTATTAGATCAATTTATATTAGAGTTATTTCCTGAACTTGCTTTAAACAATAGTAATAATAATAATAATCCCAATAACAATGCAGATGTACGAAAAGAAACTTGTCAGTGATTTTTATCATTATTATTATTATTATGATTATGATTAATACTTCATAAAGATTAATTTGTTTGATTCCATTATTCATCTCTTCTTTTAAACATATGTATACCCATACATACCATACCCGTTATTGCCATTGATTTTCTCTTATTTTTTTGTCTTTTTGTCGACTCATTATTGTTGTACAGAAAATTTTTGTAGTCATAAAATGTGTTGTCTTTCTCTTCTCTCTTTTTTGTTCTTATGATTTTTATTTCATGCTGAATTTTTATAGAATTCCTAGACCTATATGAATAATACATCCATTCATCAGAGAATGATTTATTTGTTGTACTCTTATTCTATGTGTATTTTTTCTCCGCGCTGATATTGGCTCAAGCGCATTCGACTTTCAATCACTTGGTCCTGGAGTTTCGAGTTTTGAGTATTTTTGTGTCTTGGCGATTTGTTTTTATTTTGTCTGATGTTGTTATTCATCGTCATTGTTGACAAATATCATCATATCATCGCAATGCAATGTTATTACCTGTTTATATTGTGTACTACTGTTATGTAACTATTGTCTTTCGCTGTTATATGTGGTATGTGTGTGTGTGCGTGTATGTTAGTGAGTATCGCTATTCTTTGTCTCTGTGTTGGTGTGGCTTACGAGGAAATTATAGTATAGTAATGGCAGCAACAACAGCAGGAGTATAGACGAAGAGGAAGAAGAGAAATTTATCCTGAACAAACAATAATTATACAAGCGTGTGTGTACATTTTCTTTAAATTTTTAGTTATTAAACTTTTTTCTCTTATTGGAATTCATGTTGTTAATAATCTGAAGTATTTGAATTGTAAATTGTCAGGGCAATTTTTGTTCATCTGTAACTTATTCTCTCTTTCTATCTTGTATACACACACACACACACATGATGACTTGTGACTGATTAAACTTCACTTGTTTATTATTGCTTTCATTGAATTTGTTATACTTACACTGACGATGATATTGCAGTTGATGCGACGTCAATCGCTGCAGAATTAGACGTGTTTCTATTCCTCAAATCTGGATCTAGTTTACTTTGTGATTAGGAAACAATCTCATTGTTTTACCTTGAGCCAATCTCCAACCAGTCAGAACAGTTTATTATCCGCTGACCTAGCCGAATTCCAATGTGGTTAAAAATGTTTAAATATGATGTGTTTTTTTCTCAACAGAAATAGTCCTTTGCTGCTTCTGTTATCTTCTGACGTTATATTTGGCGTCGCCGCCTTCGAACAATGAATATCCCATGACCTGCTGTTTTCGTAGAAGGAGACATGCAGAGCGTCTTACGGGACTTTGATGCGGTCGGTTAGTTGGCTGGCGCCCGGGATCCACGTCGAAGACGGGGACACTGTTGAGACGTTGAGCATACGACAGTGTGGAATGGGCAGTTGGTGAATAAAACTGTAAGGTATTAGTGGCAGAGTTCGACGTCCTAACGAGCAGGCAGTGCAACAATTCCATGCCATAAATCTGCGACCGGACAGAGACCCGCTAGTATTGGCGGTGAATCTTACGAGTCTACTGTGTCACGTGCTCCCGACATTTGATGAAAAATTGTCTAATGAGGTTATTTCCTGACTACGGCGTAAACGAGATCTGAATTTGAGGAGTAAACACTTCTACATCTGAAGAGATTGACCTAAAGTGTTGATTTTAATTTTGGCTGTTTCCTATCTGTCTGCATCCTATAAGTCTTGTTCGTAACATTCGCTACAGTGTTAATGTGCCAGTAGTCAAAATGACGGTGGTTGTCTAAAATAGTTAACTATAACACTTTATTATTAGGAAATAAAATGTTTTAAAAAATCAATATCCTGTATTGTTTGTTTGTTTCTAGTATTAAAATGAAGTATTGAAAGTGTGATATTGGGAGTTGTATTCCAAAGTGGAGTGAGTCAGAGATAAAAGTATGACAGGAAGTATTATGAACGCTAATCATACAGCAATACAGTTTGAGTTGTAGGCGTCTGTCAAAATACTGAAATCTGATTTCGATTGTTAGATTTTCGTCATGAACTAACATCTATTAGAAAATTTACTGGAAACTAGGGAGAACTGTTTCGTCTTATTCTCGGACTCTTCATCACTGCACGTCGCAACGCCGTCAGAGATCGGAGCTGGGATCCACAGGTTACAACGCCAAGCTCATCGATCATTCAGCCACTTGGGCCGGAATTCAATGATCTGGGGATTTGTGATACGGTGTCACCGTCAATCAGTGCCTTCGATTAGCATTCGCTTCACCTTGACATGGTGCACCCCATTGATCATAACTTTGCAGTACAGCACAAGTGGCTGAATGATCAACGGGCTTGGTGTCGTAAGTTGAAGGTCCTGGGTTCTATCCATGTCCGGTGAGCACTGTGAGGAGCGCTATAATCTGAAATCCTATAGTTTGTAGTTTGACCGTTTGTTTGTCTAGCTGACAGATAGATAGTTAATCAACAGTCGTCCGTAACACAACCCAAAACTATAAACTTTAATTTACATTCCAACGCCACAAGGAAAAAGAAGACTTATTTGCTAAACGAATTAGTTCACTGTCCTGGCAACAAACAGCTAATAGGGAACAAACTTCAATACATACTTATATTATGACGTTTTGCAATGGAGAAGTCTTTAATACGTCAGAATAGTTAATTGTCAATGGGAGAACAGCCTTCAGAAAAGTTGAAGAAATCGAAAACTTGTGGCACAAATAGAGTGTAAAACTGTATTTCAAACTTTAAGTGTAGCACTAAACCAATTATATAGACAGTGTACAGACTCTTAGAGAAAGGAGGCTGACTTTCCTTAGTGAATTTTTTAGATTACTTTTACGACAACTAGAGGAGTTCTCATCCAAATCTCACAATTCATGTTAAAATTACAGTTTCAATAACTAAGTCCTATTGCATCATTATTAGTCTATCAGACTACAGCTTCCTGAAATGTGGAAAGTCACTTTAGATTTTTGACAGCCAATTGTACCATATATACACTGAGTTTGCTATCTAGCCATTTCACTCTCATTTGTGCATAAAACTAAATGTTTATCTGCACTCACAATGTACACCATGATGGCAAGCTACCTAGAATGGCGGCCACATTGCAAACCTGACTGACTGATAGAATTCAGTCTGCACCAAAGAAAGGACTGGACACATCTCACTGGTGTCCAATAAAACAAGAAAATATACTGAACCACTATGTAATATCATATAATCTTCTTATCAAAGAAACATGCCTGCATGAATAACATTGCCGGCTGCAGCCTACAAACATCAAAGGTAATATGTTTTTCTTTAACTCTGTGTTTACTATCATTGTGCTTGTGTTATGATGTTATTTACAAGCAAGAATGATTGATAGTAAATTTGTAAGCCAAAAGGATCCATATCTTTTATCATTGATTTACCATAGATGAGGATGTAGTCCATTGGTCAGATTCATAACTCCACACCTCTAAATATTTCTCACCTTCAAGCAGTTATTTATTGTGAACCGTCGAAAATCAAGTGCGCTTCTCAACCCAATGAATACAAATCATGCATTGAGTTAAAGACCTGCACTGATTCAACTCTATTAAGGATTTTCACATACACTCTGGTTAAACAAATCATCAGAACACGAGTCGTGTGATCCATAAGATAGATTTCGAAAGTAAATTATGGACTAAAAATTTCAGTCGGTTAGTTATAATAGGCGTCACCATTTGTATATATCATACATATCTGTAAGGGAGTGGATGTTTCATTAATGTATATCACTGATTAGCCTTATTAAACTTGGTGTGCTGTAGTTCCCACTTGGTGAAATGATCACCTATCATGTAAGTACTGATACGCAAAACACAAACCAAAGTAACTGATTTACTTAGAGATATTCTCTTAGAAGTAATAAATTTTAGCAAAACAAAGGTCATGATGATTTTCAGAAAATAAGCAGTCAATTTACCTGGCTAATGACGAAGAAGTTTGGAACTCAGATTGCGGATGAAAGCCAGGATAAAGTTAGCGTGAAATGAAGTCAAAGGCTGCTCAGTTGAGTACTTACTGAGAAGCACTTTGTACAACCTATCCCTAGTTGTATTTTAGTGGCCCAAAGCTGCACTGAGATCTATACACCACTAGAAGGTTATTGAGACACCAGCAAGGAGGTGAATATGTAGCATTTTTTCATATTGATGATGGCTTATTTGGCATATGGGTCTCTCAAGCTAACAGAACCATGTGTATCTGTGGGAAAATAAATTTCCGTCTAGACACAACCCCCCTTAAATCGATGGAATGCCTCAAATACTCTTTGTATGTTTCTCAATTGATCTTTATTCTAGGGAAAAATCGGTGTAGACTGAACCGTATAACAATCTCAATAACATCATTGGGAATCAATTACATCCAGTTTTCGACGTGTTTATAACCTTTTGAAATGTTATAAATAGAGAACGAGAAAAAAAATCAAAACCGAAGACCTACCATAAATAAGGAAAATATAGAAAAGATTTACTGGACAACAGAAAGTCTTTAACTGAGATTTACTGTAACGTTTTGGTTTTTCAAAATTTCGTTTTACATCTTGTTAGCATTTAACAAACATTTCGCGAAAAACTATATAAAATAACTCCGTGTTTGTGTACATAATAGCTACACAAAATTGTAATACCAAATACGCCAGTAATGTGGAAGTTGCAATGAAACTAGTTAACAAAGCCCGTATTCCGTTAAGACTAGTGAACGTACCTGAAAACGCATGTAGAAGATACCGTATCAGTGCCATCAGCATTGGCATTACTAGAACATTCGGGGGATTTAGAATACTTCGGGCTTGCTTTAAGTCTGTTGAAGAGGCATTTCCCAGTGAAGTACATGTGTTAGGAATTGAGTTGTAACCCATAAACGGAATCAACACTCAATTGCAGATACACTAGTAGGAAAGGAACAAAAGAGAGTTCAGTTGTTTTCCACAAGTTATTGTATTACAGCTCCTATAACTGTAA